CAGACAGACAGAGACAGACAGACAGACAGACAAAGAGACAGAGACAGACAGCCAGACAGACAGAGACAGACAGACAGAGACAGACAGACAGACAGACAGACGGACAGAGACAGACAGACAGACAGAGACAGACATACAGACAGAGACAGACATACAGACAGACGAACATACAGACATACAGAGAGACGGACAGACAGACAGACAGACAGACAGACAGAGACAGACTGACAGACAGAGAGACAGAGACAGACACACAGACATACAGACAGACGGACATACAGACATACAGAGAGACAGACAGACAGACAGACACAGACAGACAGACAGACAGAGAGACAGACAGACAGACAGACAGACGGAGACAGACAGACAGACATACATACAGACAGAGACAGACAGACAGACAGACAGACAGACAGACAGACAGGTCAAAATTTTTGCGCCAAAGTTCCCCAAAAAAGACTATCGTCTTTCAATATTGCAGTCTGGTCGTGACAGTGCTGACCGTCTGACGGGAGCTGCTGCAGCAGCGAGTGACCGCAAGAAGATGGATGGTGGCGACGCTGCGTTGACCGGAGCCCGATCACCCGAGCCGGGCAAGGAGTGCGATTCGCTGAGCGTCCAACTCCGTGAACTGACGAGACCCGAGCGGAGGTACATGGTCGCCGGATGCATCTGCTCGCTCTTCATGGGCCTTTGCATACCCGTGTACGCCATCTTCCTCGGAGACATGTTCCAGGTACTTCCGCTGCACTCGACATTCGGTGACATTTAGGTACGCGGGTCTTACAGGTCACTGTCACAGCCTGTTTATTCCCTTGTTGTAACCTTACGGGGCTACAAACTAAAACCGAACAACTACACTACTTTCTTTCGCATTGCGGCATAACTAGTGTCTGTACCCTTCATTTTTTTTCTCGTACTGCTCTCACGCCTACAATTAACAATTATGAACTTACAGAAATAAAAAAAACTTTGCGTACTTGTCTAGAGATTGGTCTTTTGTTGCCACCCAAATTAAATTTGCATGCAAGACGATAGCTGTCTACACAGGAGGTTCACACACTTTCGCACAATCTAAAGAAAGTAGTCCTGCTAACATACAGACAGCCTACTTATCTCCTCTCCAAGAAAACTGTTCAAGCGTGTTCACTACTTTCACTGTTCAGTACTTAAAAACAATCGCATTCAACTGCTGTTAATGTCACGAAATTTTCCCCTTGTGGATGTCGTCCATGCAACACATTCTGCGAAAATATGCACATGACAAACTGAGCATTCTTCCAAAAACGAAGCAAAAAAAAGCAGGTAAGTGCTAGGCCTCTAGCCGCTCATTGCACGAAATCGTTCATACGTCCCACTGTTCAGTATAAGCAAGTTTTTTAAGTATGAAAACAGCAAGAACGACTGAGAAAATTCGCAATGATGTCGCCTTGACGGCACCATCGAAGCACTGGCAGAATCGAGTTATCCCGCTAGCGGGCTTATGCGTTCTTCATTTGATTAGCGATTTAGTTGCGGTACCTCGCTTAATCTGCGTATTCGCAATGACCATGGTGGCACGCCGTGCAATAAAAATGGCTGATTGATTGATATGTGGAGCAACGTCCCAAAACCACCATATGAATATGAGAGACGCCGTAGTGGAAGGCTCTGGAAATTTCGACCACCTGTGGTTCTTTAACGAGCACTCAAATCTGAGCACATGGGCCTACAAAATTTCCACCTGCATAGGAAATGCAGCCGCCGCAGCTGGGATTCAATCCCGCATATCAAAGAAGCTGTGGAGGGAAGATAAACCAGTGAACTCACGTAGGAAAAGATAGGACGCGCTAACGAACTCCCCATGCCGTTTTCACCGGATCAACTCTTGACTGCCAAATGAATGTATATTGAACGAAAGTTCTTTCTCAAGCGATAGCGACTTTTGAATGTTCGCTACCTCATTTCTTGCCGCAGTGCAAAAGGGTGGTGGTGTCAGTTGATTGACCATGTATCAACGATGATTTTGCGTAATCCAGTCCGTGGTACAGAAAACTGCGCCAACTAAAATTCACGTATGAACTGAACGGCACTCCGAGATCATTATAGCCGAGTCTGTCAAGCGGATTTGCCTTGGTAGAATCGCAACTAGCAAGTAGCGCGCCGTCACAGCTGCACGGGACCGAATGTTTAACGTTGCGAAGGTTTGCAAACATATTACGCCGTCGTTTTTACTTGCACTGTAAGCATCATGCAGCCGCTTCTTTAACGGAACACAAGCATTTAACTTCCCATTAAGTATCACTTGTGTCGCAGCCATGATCAGACTAATAGTGCGCAATTCCCTGCACTCGTGTGTGTCAGATTCCAACAGCACGACCGAAACAAGGATATCGAAACGAATACGTGCGTATGCTTTTTGCAACGTCAAAATATCGAAAATTTGTCGAACAACAACGTTGTTCGGACGGCATGAATGAAGTGCAAAAGAAGTTAGCGTGGACTGTAGCCGCAACTGCATATTTAATTGCTCTAACCATTTTGGTTCGATTGTCGAGTTCGAGCGTGTTGGCGGCATGCACGCTTTGCAATATCCACTGTAATTGGAATGCAAAATAATATAAGTTATTTTGAGCTCACTCAAGGATATTATACAATAAATACAATCAAAGTTACTTACGAGCGTGGAAAAATATTTACTCAAGACGGAACATGAAGTGCAGCTCTCTGCTTGTGAGCTCGCAACTGATTGTTCATCGCCACTGTCACTCTCAGGGCGTTGACAAACATCTACATCCAGTCAAAAATTCTCGATGTCTAGACGGTTTTTTCGAACATCACTGCTGAAAGTAATCTGAAAAATTATCTCCGCCAAGCGAGCTTCAATAGCACCAACAAAACGTCATTCACCTCGCACAACACCCACACGGCGTCACTCACCACGTTTATTGGGGGGGGGGGGGGAGTGCGAAGATAATTTCGCTCCGATCCCCGGCAAGAAAGGAATCGCTTGCCGTGTGCTGCCGTCTATCAACGAACGTAAAAAAACAAGCGGTGCAGCGTAGGCCATGGCTTAGAAACGCAAATCTTGAGCCTGTGCTACATTGCGCGTACAATGAATGTATGGGATTCATGGGCTACAAAAGCACTATAGAATTCTATACGCACGTAAAACAAGGTGAGTTTTAACTAGAGTTGTTATACGATAACATTGAACTATCCAAAGTAGCTGCAGAAAATCTCGCGAAGCTAATATGTGTACTATGTGGGCTATATTTGAAAGCGTGAGTTGCCACGTATTTCCATTAAAACTCGAGCCCCGCAAGTAAAACAAAATACTTGCTCTTTAAATCGAAAGGTACGAGCACGGCCTGTCATCCTCCGCAGCAGTTTCAAAAAGTAAATATTCAACAGTCAAGCACGGCGAAATTCCTGGGAGTTATATTCCACGAGAACATGTCCTGGTCACCACATATTGATTCTCTCAAAAGTGGCATCGCCTGCGCAGTGGGTGCGTTAAACAGGCTGCGATATTTACTATCAACAACGTGACGTACCATATCTACAACTCACCTATACATTCCCGTTTAACGTACTGTCTTCGAGCTTGGTATGTACAACGCCACATAATTTAGGATCACTTCAATGTTTTAAAACCGTGCGCTACGTCCAATAGAAAATTTAGGACTTTTAATAAGCACCCAAATATATTATTCCAAAAATAAAATATTAAAGGAGCCCAAACTCTACACATACAAACTATTTCTTGAAATTATGTGGCAGTTTAGGTCTGACAAACATTCCTTCCAGAGTAAGTACAGCGTAAAACGACAGGCAACAAATTCACAAATAGTTCTGTATTTACACCACATAGCTGGAACAGGAACAAAAACTTGCTGTTCAAATTCCTAACAATCTCAATCACTATACATTTACCGTAGATATCCTCAACTTTGGAATTAGGAAGCAAGTGTATCCAAAACAATAAAAGAATTATTATATTCAGAGGACTAATGCAAATAAAAGAATACTATGGTTCTGTATGAATGTTATGTATTGTGTTGATTTTCTTTTTTTCTTGCCATATGTGGATTGTGGGCCCTACAAGTTGTTCGTAGTTTTTTTTTGCGTGTAGATGATTATAATGCGCTTTTTTCTCTGCTCGAGAGTTCGGCGTGCAATGTTTTTGGTGAAATTGTACTTCTGTTTTCTTCTTTCTCTTATTGCTATATGACGGTGTAATATTGATCGGAGGTGTTGTACTTGATATTCATGTACCCTTAATATTTGTGAATGTCTTTTTATGCTGCTGCTGCTGTATGGGTGGCATGGCCCAATCAGGATCTTTGCCTTTTGCTGTGTCTCCTTGAAAAATTTTGTAATTGTTCTTAATAAACTAATAAATAAATAAAGAAATAAAAAAAACGAAAACTTTGCGAATCGCAAGAACGAACCAGATTTATCGTGTCACGGACGGTCCGGTATACTGAGATTCACGAAATATACAAAGTGGTTTGTGTTCATTTCTTGCTAAAGCGTTAATACTGCGGCTAACACCACCGAAGAAGGGAGTATTGTGAGCGTCTGCCTACTGATCATTCTTGAGAGGACGCTCCTGTATTTCGCTAGGCGGTGCGAGAGTCTATAAAGTTTGCGAATACTCTTTTCTGCCGAAATGGTGCTACTTCTCCAGACAGTTGTCCTTAGAAAAGACGTCACAGGGTGAGGCGGCTGATTCGCTTCGGTTGTTCTCGTATAGAATCTACCGAATGACGGAAAGTTGCTGCCTCCGCAGGGTTTGAGCAGTGGCAGCAGCGGAGATGATCAAGTCCACAACCATGTTCTACTGCTTCCTCTTCCTTGTCGTTGGTGTCGTCACTGGACTCTTGGCTTTCGTCCAAGTGAGTGAAAACCCTGGTGTAAGGCAGCCCAGCGCACGCAGAGTAGACATGTGGTCGTCGCAGAAAAAAAACATCCCATTGTCTTTACAATTCAGTCACAATGACATTGATTTGCAGAAAAAAAATTATTCTCTCGAAAGTAAGGTGAATTTTCGAAAAGCAATCAATTATTTTTGCAATATATTGTTCATATTTGTGAGCAAACTTCCACAAAAATATTTTGTTCCCTACCCTCTCACACTAGAAAAGCCATTTTCCTTACGTGCTTGGTCTTAGGTTATGTGTATTTATAAACTTTAATAAATAAAAAAAAATCACCTTTCGAAGAAAGGAAAGATAGGAGCCGTCACAAAAAGCAACTACAGTGAGTAGCTGGACGAGGTGACAGCCCCTCTTGAACAGGAGAGCAGCAGGCAGTGAGTAGGACAAATAATAACATTGAACAGATTGCAAGGTACACAAGGGTTTTTAACACATAGTAGCGGAAATTGTAGAGCATTGGTATAACACCGAAAAAAAAAAACAGCAGGCGTGAAATATTTTGCATAGGTGAAAAAAGTAATAAAAAACAACAACCACAAAATAAGGTAACCCATCGAGAACCTTGAAATGATGTGTACAAATAAGGGTTGTAATATTATGAGAAACATTTCCACTTGTTTACATACATATATCACGGAGCTCTTTTCTTGATAACTTCCCATATCTACGCCATTTGTTCTCTTCAACTGGTTTAGCAGTGATGGTAACTGGTGACGAATAATTTGCTTCCCATAGTTTGTGCGACATAGTGCCACTTGCCACTTCTCTGGATTTCGGGTGTTGTATGCTACTATATTTGTTTTAATTACATGCATGCGGCCCTTCCAAATTTTGATGAAAGAAGAGCGGTAGTTTTGCGAAGTCTCATTGCACTTGGTCACAACACGTGCTGGAGCCCTTTTATGGCGAAAGAGTGTGCATATATATAGTGTATGCGCCACGATCTTCCGTGGCGTGACGAGTTTTTAAGTCGTGGCACAATTGCTAGGCTACGAATGATGAATTTATTAAGAAAAAGAAATACGAGATTTTGGATACAGTTGCGATTATATACGGAGTGCTTAAATAACTATGTCCCGAATTCCTGAAAAATACGCTAAAGAAAACATGTTTGCAGCTATCATAATTAAAATTTTTACTCGCAGACACGTTCGATAGCTAGACACGTTATTTGCGCAAGTAAAAAAGGTATACCTTTTTAAATAGAAGGGACGAGTGTCCAGATCTAATGAAGGCCATCCCGCGAAAAACCCATGACCCCTTCGAGGTTTCGAAAAAGTGGCCCCTGGTAATTATTGCGGAGCAATGAAGTTCGAGCAATATGGCTGGTGAAACCGAAACCGAAGCGCCAATAAGCGACCAGAATGCCGTCACTGTTCATGAGAAGAATTGCACAAGAATTAGTTCTGCGAAATTCACTATGTGTATTATGCGAGATGTAATAGGTGACCAGTTAAAGAGCGAGGGATTGTGATACGCACCGTCTGCTGGCGGCTTCCGGTTTGAGAAGAGTATACGCGACGGCGAACCTCTTCGCCGTAAGTCTCGTATTATTCGGGATTCACGCGTATGGTCGCCCCCTTATATTCTTCCTGCTGAACCATGGTCGGTTGTTGAGGCGTTGGCTGCTACAACTCGAGCGTGAAAGGCAAACGGCATGTATCGGCCTGTATCGATTCCCACGGAACGAAGAAAAAAATTCCGCCATATCCACGAAGTGAATGATGATGAGTGGGCGAAGCTCCGGAGGTAAACCTGGTAAACCATGAATCCTCTGTACATTTTGCCCACTCGATTTTATTACATCGCTCCCCCTAGCGTACGTCGCCGCACTAAATCGAACGATTGCCTTCAACCAATGACACGCGCCATATGTGACATCATTCCCATTTTATAAGATCTCGCGTCTTTCATCAACTATAAGTACCGCTTTCTAGTTTATAACACCTTGCGTCTTTTCATCATCAGATACAAGTACCACCATCTAGTAAACACTACAAGAACTAAACGAGAGGTGGCTACATACAGGAGACGGTACCGCCATCTAGTGAACACTGCAAGAACTAAACTAGAGGTGGCTACATACAGGGGACGGTACCGCCATCTAGTGAACACTGCAAGAACTAAACTAGAGGTGGCTACATACAGGCTACAGGGGACGCACAGCCCACGCCCTAAGGAGCTTCGCCCCTAAAATGAGGTGGGCTGCAGCTGTTAAGAGAGCCGCAGCGACAAGTAGCCTTTGGGTACCGGACGTTGAAGCCAGAGTGTGCGAAGACCAGTTTATCACGGTTACGTGCGTATTACGCACTAATAAAAAGCCTACACACGCATTTACTGCAAATATTACATCGAGAAATAAATTGTCGCGCAGGCGCGCCTAGCAAATTTATTATGGGAACGCGCGGGTGAAATCTACCTGCCATACGAGATGAGCGCCGGCCATTGGACCCATATATATGACAAAAACGCGAAAGATTCACTCAAGAGTACGTTTACACGGAGCGCTGGATGAGTTCATTTGCGTTTATCTTAATCAAACTGTGTGCCAGGACGGCACACAAATGACGAAGTGCGTTAATGAAGCGCAGGGATTTCATTCTTCGGCGCCGTCTATGTCTGACTGTATTGTTTATGTGCCGCCGTGCCACGCAGTTTGACCAAAATTAGCGTTCAAATAAGTATCTTGCTTGAACCAAGAAATGCCTCCTAAAGCGCGCTGAAGGCTGGAAAACGCGCTCAATAAGTGCTGGTATTCATGCCCATCGACCGACGACGTCCGCCGTATAGCAGCGATCCCGAAATGAACTCTTAGCACACTGCTACAGTCATCCCCATCCCCTGAGATCTTTAAAATGGTGATTTTTTTATCTGCAGGAACGTATCACTGAATAAAAACTGTCTTCTGTATCGACTGATCTGTTAGCCAAACTGACAGTACCCCAGAGAAGGATACAATCATTGCAGATAATTTTGGGGCGATAGAAAAGTTTTCCTTACCGCTCAAAGCTTTCGTAGCTTGTCATCATCGAAGTAACGGAAAGCACAAACAAAAACAAGCAACTTTAAAACACTGGTATTGCACGGAGATGTGCTTTTTTGAAGAAAGCGGTACAAAAATGCACGCGTGCCGCTGCTAAGCCGCGTGGGGCATCGAACTGGAAGCCGTCCCATCCCAGAGTTTCCTGCGACACACACACACACACACACACACACACACACACACACACACACACACACACACACACACACACACACACACACCACACACACACACACACACACACACGCACACACACACACACACGCACACACACACCACACACCACACACACACACACACACACACACACACGCACACGCACACACACACACACACACACATACACACACATACACACACACACACACACACACACACACACACACACACACACACACACACACACACGCACGCACGCACGCACGCACGCACGCACGCACGCACGCACACCCACACACACACACACACACACACACACACACACACACACACACACACACACACACACACACACACACACACACACACACACACACACACACACACAGAGAGAGAGAGAGAGAGAGAGAGAGAGAAAGATAACTCGGCCATTGCTTGTTATATTAATGATTATTCTTTTTTCAAGATATCTAGGAAGAAAATAACAGCAGCACTCTCCCTTGTTTCAATTTGGGTCTCGGTGGTGAAATCTATAAGAATTCATTATACTGCTAAAATCATGAGTGCCCAACAGTCGGATTTTCGAAAGATACAATGGGCTCTTCAAAAGAAGGACTTTCATATTGCCATTTGACTTGATTGCTTGTGGAAGGTAATATATGAAGGCAGCGGGCAAAATTTTCTTCCTTCTTATTTTGTAGGATTTTCGTACAGTGCTTTACCGCCGTATTGTAATAGAGCGGGCTGGAACAAAACGCACGATGCGGCTGTGTCGAACAAAAAAGGAGCCCTTACAAAATTTTTTTTTGTTCATTCATAACGACAGTTTCACTCCGTCGTCATGGCATGCAGCGACGCTGGCTAACACTTCCAGGTTGGCATGCATAACAATGCCCGATAAAGTGGACGCGAGGCCACCGTATGTCAATAAGTATTACAGGCGCGTCATGGGAAGGTTGCAGGTTTGGTCTCAGGTGGAGGCAAGTTGTTCTTGTTTTGTTAATGCTCGTGGCGCATGCCCAGTGTGAGAGATTGGCCAAGAATTGAGTGGTTTTATAAAATAGTGTGCAGTATTAGAATAACAGAGATTATTATATACAAATATTACAAATGACCTAGGAAATTATCATGATATATCTGATGTATATAAGAATTAAAATAAAAAAATTATTTCTTAAATTAGAGCATTACGTACTCTGATTTTCATACGTATATAATTATGTAGACACATCATGATATAATACAGAGTATTTCGTCAACCTATAGGTGTCATTAATATATTGTCCCTGACAGCAGCGCATACTCTCGCACTGGAGAACCCAGAAATGAAGGCTCTAATAGACAAAATGACAGGCACAGATAAATTCATACGAATAGCACGTAAAGGTACTTCTACAATAGTTTGTTATTGTATTAAACCACCTGCAGGTCAAAAAGAAATGATCTATTCTTTCCAGTTCCCCAAGGAACGCACACAGTGGCGAAGGTGCCTGAACAGACCAGTGTTAGTAAAAATTTAAATTCGAAACCTGGCAGCGCAGCCTTGTGATAGCTACTTCTAGTTTATGAGTTTGAAAAAAGGCTCTTCGCTGCATGGATGTAAGAAATGGCGATATTTGGTAGAGTTTGTCAGCGCTGTGCCTCTAAAGACTTCCATAAGCGCATGCCTGCGGAACCAAGTTGCAGTCACATAAAAGCAGACGTTGGAAGGTACGGTAGAATCAGTCTGCTCATTGACGAATTAGCTAGGGAATCG